GACTACTAGGACTACTAGATTAGTCTAACTCGATCACTTCTCGACGCTGAGCCCACCTGAAAGGGGTTTTACAAACAACACATAGACAAGTAGGAAAACACTTGTTAGCACGAAGCTAAGTATATAACCACACTCAACCCTGTAAAGTACTATAGAATATACTTTGGAAAAAAAATCTTTGATCACATTCATAAACAACAGTCACATCACATAGGCAACTATAGTTACATCACAGACTTTCTATATGCTTAGAACCTATAATATCAACATGCATGCTTCAAATGTAAGTAACTCATCAACATAAATACTCCAACACATATATCTCATAACAAAGCTCATCATAACGAACTCATGCTGACAAGCAATTGCATACTATCAATCGATACGAAACTATCCTCATGCTTTCAGGTTGTCCTCATGCAAACTGGATATGTAAGACATACAAATGTAACTAAAGCGATCATGCTCGATATACAATCACGATTAATCATTCTCATTATGCAATCTCATGCAATACTATACTCAAATGCAATCTCGTGCAATACTATACTCAAATGCGATCTCGTGCAATACTATATTCAAATGCAATCTCGTGCAATACTATAAATATACTTATACACTCGTTTGAAAAATATAGAATATTTTCTGTTGAGGTCTCTTTGAGTCATGAAGACTTGCTTTCTTTCCTTCTTTTCTTTCAGTCGCAATGACTCACCTCTTTCTTTTCTTAGAGTCGCAATGACTCACTTTCTTTATAAATGGACGAGGTAGGAACTTTACCATAGTGTGAATGAACATATCCGGGCACGGCGTCTAGCCGAACTAATACTCTGTTCGTCCACCGAACCACTCTCTTGGTTCTATGCTCAAACTCTGTGGAATCAGGTATCGAACTATTAGCGTGCACACCCCCTGACCAGGATTTCAAGCCTGGCGGGCAGTTTCCAACCTCGTAACGTGGGAATACACCGCGTTACATATACTGGGACCGCAATGTCCATAATAATCACCCGAGAGGACATAGTCCAAACGGGGTCCTCCAAAACCTCACTGATATAAATAATATATAAATATATCACTCATGCATGCCATATCTCAACAACTTCTCAATGCATCAAAATAATGATATACCACATGCTCATGAATTTTGAAAGTAATACTTAGGCTCACTTTGACCATTTATGCACTTTTAAAACATGCTATACTAGAAATGCAAAAATGCTATACAACATGCTTCAATTTAAATATCAAAGTGAACTTTCAAGAATACACCAACATGCTTGTATTGCAACATATCAAACTCTTCATATTTCTATCATCAAAATAGACTCCAAATCCGATTGATCAAATAATATATTCTAGTCATGCTTTTCTAATAAATCTTATTCTCAAAGTGAACATGCTTTTCTATTCATCAAGTAAATAACATCAGGGCAACAAAGCAAAGTAAATCTCATTACAGTGAACTTCAACATACACACCGTGAAGCAAAATCATCAATAAATCTATCATAACATGCTCATTTCTAATCAAAATTCAACGAAATCAAAGCCAAAACGTGCGTCGAGATGGGCCCGAGGTACCGAGCCAAAAGGGCCCGTGACACCTGGTCCGAAACGACACGTAGCTGAGCCACAAGGGCCCGGCCACTGCATAGACAACTCTCAGGGACCAGGGGGCGGGGCTCCTCATGGCCCACCCCTCTCAAGCCGTCACAACGCCGGACCTAGGCAACGGCCCTCTCTTAGGGTCGTGCCCTAGGCCCGCCTGGACACGGCTCTAGCCAGCGGCCCCCTTGATGGGCTGTGGCTAGGGCCGTTACATTCATCTGGTGCACACTGTGTGTGCACCAGATGATTCATTTCTTCTGCAAATCACTTTCAAGCAAGTCTAACACATCCAAAACATTATCAACACATCATAGACAAGTAATAGATCACTTCCTAGCTCAAACACAACAAAAATCTATCATTTCTACTCATTTCTATTCAAGAATCTAGGCTTCACAGAGCCCAAAAAAAAAAAAAAATGAAGAGGGAGTCCATGGGGTTGTACCTCTTCTTGTTCTTCCTCCTTGTGTGGATCTCATCCTTCTCTCCACTCAACTTCCACCACTTCCTTCACCACCTATACATCCCAAACAAAAACACAAACTAAGCCTAAGAATCTCAGAGTAAGGAGGCCAAAGAAACAACACTAGAAGCAATAGAAAGAATGGAAGATGAAGGATGAAGCTTACTGTGATTGTTGTGCTCTTCTATCAGACAAAACTTGGAGAGACAAGGGAATGAGATCAAGGAATGGGGAGTGAATAGTGTGGGTTTTATAAGGTGCAAAACCCTAGGAGATTTTCCTATGATTTGGTGAGGGTAAAAATGGCAAAGGTTGGCTAAAGAGTGCATCAGGCAAGGGAATTTGGGAGCTTGTGGTTCACCAAGCTACATGGACCCAAGTCTAGAAGGATAGTTTCAAATAGTTTGGGGTCAAAATAGAATTTTTCAAAGATGATTTCTAAACAAACACTTGGTTCAGGTTTCTCCCGGTTTCACTCGCATTGGTTTCTAAATTTAAAACTTGGTACACGAAGTACCCGAAAATTTAAGATTTTAGAATTAAAATAAGTTTCGGTGTTGAATTAATTTAAAATGTAACTCAAAATAATTTATTCAAACACCAATTTATTTAAAAAAATTTAAAGGAGTGAAAATGGCTATTTTGGAATTTCTTAAAATTGGATTTATAAAATTAAATTTTGGGTTGTCACAATACCGACCTCAATAAAGCTTGCCCAAAGGATTCTTCCCCTTTGCAGAGGATCGACCAGCTGGTAGATGAGACAGCGGGGTCGGCCCTGCTGAGCTTCATGGACGCTTTTCGTGGGTATCACCAAATCTACATGCACAAGGCCGACGAGGAGAAGATGGCATTCCTCACTCCGGATGGGGTGTATTGCTACCAAGTAATGCCCTTCAGCCTAAAGAATGCCGGAGCCACGTACACCAGGATGGTTGCTCGATTATTCCAAGCTAAGACCTGTTGGGGAAATCTATGGCGGATTACGTCGACGACATGCTGGTCAAAAGTCAAGAAGAATCAGACCACGCTCGGGACCTGGCCGAGTGCTTCCAGGTAATGCTAAAGTTCAATTTACGGCTTAACCCCAAGAAGTGCACTTTTGCCGTACAAGCAGGGCCGGCCCTGGGCAAGTCTGCCCAGGGCCCCCAAAAATTGGGGGCCCCTTATTAAAAAAAAAAAATACAGTATATAATATAGTCATTGCAGTTTCAGTTTTGATTATTCGAACCCTATTATTCTATTAGTTTATTACCCTAATTGACTAACCGTAGCTTGTAGCTCGATCAACCCTCAACAAGCAATTGCACAAGCCTAATTAATTGGCAATTTTGGCGTTTTCCGGCATCAAAGTGATCGAACAGCAGTACTGCACTACAGGTTCAAGTTCCAAGATTTCATTATTCTTTTTCATTATGTGGTTTGATCAACAATTTAACATTAGAATTTTTGTATTTTTGTACTTGATATCAATATCAATTTTGGTTGATTTTAATATTTGACCAATATTATGTCTCAAAAAAAATAAAATTGGCGCAAACAATGATTGATTCTTCAATTCTCTTAACAGGTAATTAAAATTACCTATTACTTCACAATTCTTGTTTATTGTTTTATTTACCTGACTTAATAATTTTGATTTTAGAATAATTCAAAGATGAATTTCTTGATTAATTATTTATTCATAGAGTTTCTAAATAAATTTTTGTTTTTTTCTTAAAATTTTATAATTATGTTTTCTAGAAAATATTCATCCGAAACGTAAAAAGAAAAGTAAAAAAGAAAAGAAGAATTGAGCAACTAACTCAATCTAAAAAATGTGCTCTTGAAAAATTCATTACAAAAGAAACTCAAATAGATTAACAAAAAGATGATGCCAAGAAAAAAAATTGTTAGTTGCTAATCTGCATATAGAAAATCAAGATGATTGCGAGATTGAAAAAAAATTAAATGATAGTGTGTACAACAATGATAGGACAATGAAAATAATAAGAATCTTAATTGATAGTTATTTAGAGGATGTTGATCACAATAATAAACCAAATGATTCGCTTTTATTTGACATATATAATCCAAAAAAAATTGGGATGCCCTTGATTCTAAATTAATAGATAATTTTGTGAAAGATAGTCCTAAAAGAGATTTATCAATAAATAAAGATCCTAAAGATAAATTCTCTAAAAGATTTCCGTCAGCATTTTACACAAGATATTTGCCAAATGGAGAGAAGTGTGATCGAGATTGGTTTGTATATTCAAAAGAACTTGACAAGGTGTTTTATTTTTGTTGGAAGAAGTTGATATCAAAAGTTTGGTAAATGATTTTGCATCTAAATATGCACGACGCATGTCACTTTTTAAATAAAATGTTAAATGTATTTTTTATGCAATATTTATATTTTGAATTTTTTATATAACTTTTTGAACAACTATTATTTATATATATAAATTACTTGAGAAAAGGGCCCAAATTAAAATATTGCACAGGACCCCCAATATTGATTGGAACAGCCCTGCGTACAAGGGGGAAGTTTTTGGGGTATATGGTGACCAAAAAGAGGATCGAGCCGAACCCTTATTGAATTATTTATATGTCTGAATTTTTAGAATTAAATTCAGTCTCAAATATTGCACGAGGCAGTTTGGTGATTCAATTCCGATCCATGTGATAATCTTTATTTAATATAATTTAATGAATTCTTTTAGTGCAACTCTCTTCACTCGTCCCACTGAATTTCAAGATTCTACACTGAGTGTATGCCATCGTTCCATACCACCCAGAACAAGAAGATATCTATTGCATAAAACAAGAAAAATATCTAAATTTTGGAAGTTTACTCACAGATATTTTGGTTTGGATGGCCTGGATTGACAAGTGTAGGGTTATTGCTTAATGACACAATCTTATCTTCCCTGCATACTCGGAGTTCACTTCCAAATATCTTTTACATACATACATGCTGCAACCCAAATTTTCCGCAGAAATCGTTTACAATGGCTTCCACTTCTACAACACCACAATCTTTACAAACCATTGCTTCAAAACCTAACTTTCCTTCATTCCCCATACACAAACCACTCCACAGAAGCCTTGGGATAGCTCAATCATTCCCAAAAATCAAGCTTTCGTTGCGGGTAGAGTCGTCGTTAACTGCTAATAAGCACAATGAAGTTGCAGTGGATGAAGAGATGGAGAAGATTAGAAGGCTACAGAACGGGTCGGACGTCCGTGGGGTTGCCCTGCAGGGGGAGAAAGGGCGGAGCGTGGATCTAACGCCGCCGGCCGTGGAAGCAATAGCGGAGAGCTTTGGTGAATGGGTGATTAGTGGGTTAGAGAGTGAGAGAGGTGGGGCGGTGGTAGAAAGCGTTAGGGTTTCGCTGGGAATGGATCCTAGAATTTCAGGGAAATCTTTGAGTGCGGCTGTGTTCGCTGGGTTGGGTCAGGCTGGGTGCTTGGTGTTTGATATGGGACTTGCAACCACACCGGCTTGCTTCATGAGTACAGTACTGCCACCCTTCCAGTACGATGCTTCCATCATGGTCAGTGTAAATTCATGTCACCGATTAGTTTCTCTAACCACGTCTTGTACAGCCTTAGCTACTTTTTCCCTCACAATAACAACGGGTTTTGCTTGACGCTCTAAGTGATGCTAATTAAAGAATGAGATGACTTAAAAAGTGAGGTGGGAAGAATCTTGGAAGAAAGATTAAGGCCCTGTTTGGTAAAATGACTGTTAGCTGATACAGTGGTCAAATAGGATTATTTGCTTCTCGAGACCTTTTCCTTTTTTTCATCATGTGGGAATTAGAATTAATTCCCGTTTAGCTTTTTGAATTTTAGCCTTTTGGAATTGTAAAAAGCTAATTAACCAAACATTTATATTGATATTTTAACAAAATCAAACAATTAATAGTGATCAAATAAGTCAAAATTGGTCTATAGGCCAATTTTTTACCAAACACGGCCTAAGAAAGAACTAGCAAGCTTTATTCATATCTTGGATTATTCCAACAATCCAAGTCCTAATAAAGCTTACAAGTTCTATCTTAAGCTACTTTAATTTCTTGTAAGATCTTGTGTTACTTCTTTAAGTCATTCCATCCTTTAATTAGCATCACTACTTAGGGTCAAATGAGATTGACTTAGCCATTGCAAGGGAAGAGTAACTAAAATCACACAGGACGTTAGTCAGAAAGAATATGTGATACTTATATCATAAATTTCTACAATTTTGATGAAATAGCTAGTAGGTCTGGGTGGGCACTTCAAACCTAGCTTAGCTTGTTACTAAGCCAATTAAAACACATATTTGCGTTCAATACATATAGGTCCAGTTTGGTAACATAGTTAGCTTATATATCAGTCAATTTTGATTTCTTTGACAACTATTAACTATTTGACTTAGTTAAACCATCAATATGAGTACTTAATTAATTAGCTTTTTGTAAATAGCTTATTTCTCCAAAAAAAAAAAAACTAAATTTCAAAAAACTGTTCAAAATAACTTTTTTGATAAGTTTTTTGAAAACTCATTTACATTAGTTAATGCTATTAACTAGTCCAACTCAATAATCCATTCAGTTAATAGCTATTTACCAAATATTCCATAATATGCTTGCAGATGACGGCGTCGCACTTACCCTATACTCGGAACGGTCTAAAATTCTTCACCAAGAAAGGGGGCTTAACGTCAACGGAGGTGGAAGCGATATGCGACAAAGCCGCTCGGAAATACGCAAATAGGATGGCCAAAGTGTCGACTGCGCTACGAGCGCCGCCGTCGAAGGTGGACTTTATGAGCGCATATGCAAAGCATCTCCGAGATATCATAAAGGAAAGAGTAAACCATCCTACACATTACGATACTCCTCTCCAAGGATTTCAGGTTCGTTCGTACGTAATATGTTTGTTTGCATGGGCATGCATGCACAGCCACACCCATCTTATCTAACTTCCTTACTATTATCTATTGGAGCTTAATTTTGGCCATACAATACGGTGAGGCCTTTCTTCTTTGGAGTTTCTAATTTGGACAAACTTCAATTGGAACTATATTAATTAGTTTGTCTTGTTTTCTAGGCTCACGTTTTGGCTCATTTAATAATCTTCCCACTTCAGTAATCGGATACTCTTGGAACACATAAGCTAGAATTCTAAAAACTATATATGTTTAGTTCTCTAGTCTTTATATATATATATATATATATATATAATAAAATATAAACAATATAATAATAAATAATAAAATTAAATAAAAATCAATAATAGTAAGATTTTAATGTAAATAAATAAAAAATATGTTGGTATAATCACATGTAGCGTGTGTTAGTATTCTATATTTTCTCTTATTAGGATATGTTTGGAAATCTCCCAAAAGTCATTTTTTAAATTTTTCAATGTTTGGCTATTAATGGAAAATAAAGTCAACGGAAAATACTCATTCTAATCAAAAGAAAGAAAAATACTCAACTATACACTACACTTTAGTTTATATTTATTACATTTATCAATGACCGACAAAAATATGAATTATGTTAGACTAGACCAAACAATAAAAATATTGACTCGGCTCACAAAATAAATAATTTTTGTTCTACAATTTCTTTAGTTGTTTGTTTTTATATTTATCAATATCTAATTAAATATGAGTCGGGTTGAGCGGAACAAAACAATAAAAATCTTGGACCAACCCAACCTACATCTCAAACAAAAAAAAAAAATCTTCAATTTCTTTAATTCACAATGATTATATTTATCAATTTATGTATTTTTAAAAATATCTATCTACATCTTTTTTATTATAATAATTATTAATCTTTATAACTATTATAAATTTTAATTTATAATTTATCTTAATATAAATATTAAGTATTATCATCAATAAAATAAATAATATTTTAATTTATAAAAAATAAATTTGTAATAGATTTATATTAATATTTTTGAATAATGAACTAAACACAAAAAAATATAATTTTCTAACTTTTAGTCAAACCGAAAAATAGTTTCTGACTTTCAGTCAAACATTAGAAAATGAAAATGTTTTTCAAAAAGTGAATTATTTTTCGAAAATCAGTTTTTAAGTTTCTAATAGATTCAGTAGTACTAAAAAAAAGAAATTGGTAAATTATTTTCAAGTTTATATTGTATATCATTTTGGTCCGTCTATTTGTAACAAATCAAATTAATAAATAGGTATTATTTTTTTTTAAATACTCATGATTCTTTACAAGATAATATATATTCTATACTTTTTCAAACATTTTTAACCAAAGAATCTAAGCTCCCACATGAGAATGGTAACCAGATGCTATTAGACTACATGGTAGTTGGCATAATTGTTATTATTACTTATTTAAGGCTGTGTTTGGAAACCCGGAAAATGATTTCTGGAAATCATTTTCCGGGTTTTTGGTGTTTGGCTACACCTGGAAAATCCAGTCAACGGAAAACATTTTCCGTTGACTGGGGAAAATGAGCTCAATTTGGCGGAAAATGACTTCCGCCAAATTTGGGCGGAAGTCATTTTCCGCCACTTCTATTTCAATTTTTTTTTTATTATTTCTTTTTTATAACTTCTGGCGGAAGGTTCCGTCAGTATGGTTTCTGACGGAACCCAGTTCCGCCGGAAACCATGGCTATGGTTAGTTCCGCCGGAAACCATAGCCATGGTTTCCGGCGGAACTGGTTTCCACCAGAAACCATGGCTATGGTTTCTGACGGAACCCAGTTCCGCCGGAAACCATGGCTATGGTTAGTTCCGCCGGAAACCATAGCCATGGTTTCCGGCGGAACTGGTTTCCACCAGAAACCATGGCTATGGTTTCTGACGGAACCCAGTTCCGCCGGAAGCCATAAATGTTTTTTATTTTTTATTTTTTATTTTATTTTTATTTTATTTATTTTAGTTTTAAAGATTTAAAAATGTATTTTTTTATTCAGAATAAAATAATTAAAATATTTAATTATACCATTTCACTCATTTTTTAGAAAATAAACCAAACACACCAAAACAGTTTTCCAAATACAACCAAACACTGGAAAAGGAAAATGTTTTCCGAAAAATGACTCATTTTCCAGAAACCATTTTTCAGAAGTCATTTTCCTGCTTTCCAAACGGACCCTTAAATCCAAAGAACTTATGTTTAGTCTCAAGTTTTTTGTAATCATCACTTTCTATCATGTGTTTGGTCAGATAATAGTGAACGCCGGAAACGGGTCAGGAGGGTTCTTCACATGGGACGTTTTAGACAAGTTAGGAGCCGACACCTTCGGCTCGCTCCACCTCAATCCAGACGGAATGTTCCCCAACCACATACCCAACCCGGAGGACAAAACCGCCATGGCAATGACACGCGCCGCCGTCCTCCAAAACGCCGCGGATCTCGGCGTTGTCTTTGATACGGACGTGGACCGCAGCGGCGTGGTGGATAGGTCCGGCAACCCCATCAACGGCGACCGCCTTATCGCGCTAATGTCCGCCATTGTTCTCAAGGAACATCCTGGTACGACAGTGGTTACTGATGCGCGTACCAGCATGGGTCTTACGAGGTTTATAACTGGTAGAGGAGGGCAGCATTGTTTGTACCGGGTTGGGTATCGGAATGTTATCGACAAGGGGGTGCATCTTAACGAGGACGGCGTCGAGACGCATCTAATGATGGAAACCTCTGGCCATGGCGCTCTCAAAGAGAATTACTTTCTTGATGATGGTTAGTTAGTTTCATTTTTTTAACACGCTTTAATTTCACTACTGGAAATTATGAAATTTTCGACCACCTGAAAATGATCTTAAATTAAGTTGATACCAAAAAGTCCAAAAAGTGGTCGGAAATAGCAACAAAGGTTTTTCCGGATACCAAAGTGGTCGGAACAAGGCTTTCGACTTGATTTAAGATCACTTTCAGGTAGTCGGAAATTCCATAATTTTCAGTAGTGTTTGCATGTGTTAGTTACATGAACTTTACACGAAAATGTAGGCACCTGAACTTTAAAACGGTACAATTAAATACAATTTGTCAAAATGGGTCAAATAATATTTATTTTTAGCTACGGGTAAAATTACCACTGTACCGTTGATCACTATGCCGCTAAATTGCCCCAATTAAAAAAAAAAAAAAGACCTTCAGTCACTTTTGCCAAGGGGAATGCGACCGGATGGTCGCCTTCTTCTTCAATGGCAATGGCAATCAGGGGTCACTGGCGATCACCAGAATTGTTGACAGAACTCTAATGACGGGTTATTATAAGGGAATAAGCGGCTGTTATGTTTAAATATACCAAAATGACATGTTCGAGTGTTCAATTGTGTTTTTTTAAGTTTAGTCGCTTAATTACTTTTTCATGTAAGTTCAATGACCTATTTGACCATTTTCCCTTATTATTATTATTAGACATTAATGCATGCATGTTGACCTTCTTAGAATCCAAAAATTATATTGTTATTTGATATGATAAGGGGCATATATGGTGGTAAAGATCATCATAGAAATGGTGAAAATGAAGCTTGAAGGGTCAGAAGAAGGGATTGGCAGCCTGATAAAGGATCTTGAAGAGCCACTTGAGACAGCTGAACTAAGAATGGATGTCCTCTCTGAGCCAAGACATGCAAAGGCCAAAGCTGTTGAAGCCATTGAATCCTTCAGACACTACATTGAGGTCTATATTTATTATTAAACATTATATTTTATTATATTGCTACTATACATTATATTATGCATTGATATTATTTCTTCCATCTTTAATTAATTTATTTAATTTCTTTATTTATTAATTTCTTGTAGAAAGGAAATTTGCCAGGATGGGAACTGGATTCTTGTGGAGACTGCTGGGTGAGTGAGGGCTGTCTTGTTGATACCAATGATCATCCAGCTGCCATTGATGCTTTTATGTACAGGTACTACCAATTAAATTGAAATTAAACTTTATATTATATTACTAATTTCAGTATTAAATTAAATTACTATGAAAAAATTGTTGTTACTTGAACACATACAGGGCTAAAGTTTCAAATGAAGAAAATGGAGAACATGGTTGGGTACATCTTCGGCAAAGCATCCACAATCCAAATATTGCTGTTAATCTTCAATCAAACATACCTGGAGGCTGCCAATCCATGGCAAGAGATCTAAGAGATAAGTATGTTCCCACTTACATAACATCTTATGCTTGTTAACGTAACGTTGTTCAATTCCTTCTCCCAAAAAGATTGAATCTCCAATTGTAAGGGCCCCACACCAAGACTCGACAGAGCATGTGGTGGAGGTAAATCACGGCCTGCAGACAAGGCCAAATGTCCGTGCACACAAAGAATCTGCTTATTTTAGGCATAATTCTCACATTGATATTATCGAATTTCGAACCTTAGTTGATTTTTTCTCCCAAATACTGTCTACTAAATCTCTAAAATAAGCCCGTGCGGGTATGTTGTTGAATCCCTGCATGACTTATTTGATTTTTTTTTTTCCTTAATTAGGTTCCTACTTGCTGGGGAAATGGCAAAATTTCTTGACATCAGTCAAATTGACGAGTTCGCTCGAAATGGAAATCTTAACTGAGACACTGTATGTAACAGAAGATTATAGGTAAGGGTGCGCACAAAGTCATCAATTTGCTACCATTCAATTGTATAGTCTAAACTTGAACATACATTTGGTATATAATTAACAAATAAATAAATGGAAGAGCGAAATGATATGGCTTCTGATGGCTTAATTAGCTTTCCAGGGTGTAGGCCTTCTTTCTTATACTGCGTTTATTTATTTAGCTTTCTTGCAGCGGGATGTGCAAGCTGATCTTTTGTTGGGCTCTTGTGGCCTTCCCAGGCTTCTATGTATATCTGCTTAATTAGAAAGTGATTATTCTGCTCACCAAAAAAAGAAAGTGATTATTCTGCTAAAAAAAATGGAAAAGCAATGTGACTAATTATTAAATATGCAAAATGTTAACACTAAATAGCATATTTTAGTGTTCACGTTTGCATAATAAATTTGGTGATAATTATGAAATTGCCACCGCAATTTTTTTTAAAATATGATCTGGTGCGTTCAACTTTTCCGAATGTAAGATTGTGATTAATTTTTAGTTTTTTCATATAAACTTGTTCTCATATGATCCAATTTATACATACATACATATATATATATATATATATATATATAAAACATGAGAACAAATCGTGAGCATCCATATAATATTTTTAATGGTCTAAATCAGATTAAGTGTTTGCGAACGGGAATTAAATGTGTGCAAACGCGATTAAGTGTGTTTACTCACATTAAATTTGCATTTGCATACACTTAATCTAACCTAGACCATTAAAAATATTAAATGGATACACACGATTTGTTCTCATGTTCTCACCTAAGCAACTGTTCTCGTGTGTGTGGATTATTCACAGAGTTTATGCATAACAGACATCATTATTATTGTCATAGTGCCATGACCATTATTCTCATAATGATAACAATAACTAAAATTATTCACAAAAGTTATGCATAACTTATCAGGTAACATTTATCATATTAACTACATATAATAAATTGGTACCAAATTCTCTTGAATATAAAAATCTTTCCTTGGACAACCGAGTGATGCATATATTCTCTCTATCAGTATCATGTAAGATATAAAATCCCAATAATAGAACACATAAGATCAACGCTTCTGTGTGTACATTAAAACAATTAACTTTACTCCTCTATACTTAGAAGATTAACTCTTCAGTGTTTACAATCAGAGAATAAACATTACTTCTCTATTCATAGAAAATTAACTCTTCTGTATTTATAATCAAAGAATAAACTTTATTTCTCTATACCCAGAAGATTTAGCTAATAGCTGATAGCTGATAGTTGTTAGCTGATATCTGTTAGCTGATTGAGTTAATTAGAGGGTAAATTAGTTGTTGGCCGATAGCTGTTTAGTATAATTTCTTTTATCAAAAAAGCTAATTGAAAAAGTTATTTTGAGCAACATGCTTTTTGAATTTTAGCATTTTGAAGTTAGAAAAAGCTAATTAACCAAACACTTATATTGATTTTTTTTAACCAAGTCAAACAATTAATAATGATCAAATAAGTCAAAATTAACTAGTAATCTTACTATTTTACCAAACAAGGCTTATAATATATGCAACTTGATGACACTTTTCTAATTAAAAGAATACCAATGTCCCTAACAAGCTTAGAATAATATATGCAACTTGATGACACAAATATCTTATATATTTAAGCTTCCTTTAGTCATGTTTGAACACAATATAAAATTTAACAAATTACTATATAATTAAAGTTCTAACAATGTTGACTCAAATAAAGTGCAACGTATAGTACTGAGCCTAAATGCCTAATCCACACAATATGGAGAATATGACTCAAACAAATTGCAAGGTAACTACTGAGCCATCCACACAATATGGAGAATATTTCAAATAGAATCATATTTTCTAATTTCTAATTTAACAAGTTGTATATACTTGATATGATTAATGTCATTATTGATGGTTTTGTCAGGACCGGGTCCACCATAAATCGGGTTTGAAAGTACAGAACGGGGTAGGAAAATAGTCAATCGTTATGATGTGAGCACGTTCTCACCTTACATGGTGCGCCCAAATCTATATCTATAATTTCTATATTGTAGATCCATAATTTATATACTGTATATCCATAATTTCTAGACTCTCGGTGAGCTAAAATTTATACTTTAGATTCATAATTTCTAACCAAGAATCTATATCCATAATTTCTATACTTGGTAGGGAATACCCCGACCGACATAGCATTACCCCGACCGGTGTTCCTTCGTCTTTGTCTTCTTGTCTTTGCAGGTAACAGGTCGGGTTTCTTGTGAAGAACCCGGTCGGGATCCGACCGGGAGTTACCCGAGTGGCAGTGTCGACCACCGAGCGGTAGCCCTTTAGCGAAAGAGCTGGCGAGGGACACGTGGCGGCTCCACGCATTGACAGGCAGGGCACCCGGGACAGCGACATGTGGTTGCTACGTGGGAAGCATGCCGGACGGCCGGATTTGTGTCTCCGGCTCCGCGGCTATAAATACCCGCGATAGCGACAGTGTGGGGGACTTTTGGACGATCGATAGGTTGTTGTTAGAGAATCCCGACCGCAGCCAGTCGGCACTCAGAGCAACCAAGTAGATTGTACTTAGGGCCTTCACAGTGATCAATAAAAGTTATTTACTTGCTTTAATTGGTCTTGTGTTATTTAATTACCGCATTACGTGGCAATTATCACTATCATTTTGGCGCCGTCTGTGGGGACCCGTGCAAGAAAGCTATCGTCTTGACGAGCACCCAGTCTCTCATCAATCATGTATCCGTGGGCATACAACAACTTCGCTGACGATCAGGCGGATGCAGCGAGTTCATCCGACCACCAGGCGACTCAGCAACAAGGTTAGACGATGGACCTTAATCTCAATCTCTCGCCACCCCATCCATCCAATACATACCCGGCCGCCCAACAGCCGATGAACTACATCCAACCGGGATACCCAACACCCGGTCAGCAGTACCAGCAGCAGCAGATGCCGTATCCCGGCCAGTATCCATACCCGGTCCTGTAACACCCCGTGTTACGACCCCTAAAACCATTTAATTAATTAATCAATAACCCAAGAGAAAGAATAAATTATAATGATTAATTAGGGAAAAAGGCCCACCATAGTCCATGGGCCCTCATATATAAACCCAACCCCTAAACCCGATCCTTAGTTCCAAAAGGAATAGAATTAGCAAGCCTATAATATTAGTTCCTAATTAGGACTCCTAAATATATAAATAGGGGACTTAAGAGGCACCTAGAACCTCCCCACATGAATAACGCCCCACCACCCCAAAAGAGCTCCAAGAATCCCCGTAGAAGAAATCAAGAAAGCAAGAAAGCTTAAAGAAAGACCCTTCATAGCCAAGGAATTAATTAAGGCTAAGAGGTAACCCATGTCTCAACAAAACCTATTTTCATAGTTATGATTCCCCCTTAGGGTTTCCCCATATTATTGTGTATCAATGACTTGTGATGATTATGATTGATGATTGATGTGATGATCCCATGGGGGATCTTGATAATCTTGATATTGGGAGATTCTTGATAATTATGATGTTCTTGATGATTATATGGAGTTCTTGATGATTATGTGTTGTTCTTGATAATTGTGTGATGCCCTTGATGCTTATGTGTTATTCTTACCGGATCTTGCAATTAGAAGGCGAATCGTATTCTTGTTGATATAAAAGTGATTAGAACCCTAGGTTGTATCGTATGATATTATTATTGGATTATCGGGTGGGGTAATCGCATGTTTGGGTGTTGATTATGGTTAGAAAAGCATGATAGGTTATGTGCCGTTCGTTTCTCGTATTTGATCCGTTAATTGTCTACGTGTTGTCGTTGATTGCGTTGTAAAGTGTCTAAGCATGGTTTCGGGTCCCACAATGGTTCCCGGGGCGAAATTGTGTGATAAGAGTCAGTGGGGGGTAGGGGACCCGCCACCTACCCACGGCCGGAATGGTGATCCCGGCAGCGGGCAGCCGGCGGGCGGGCAGCTGCCCGCCGGCGACCTGCTGCCCGGAATAGTGAATCCGGCGGGTGGCCCCCCACCCACCGGCTACCCGCTGGAATTTTCCCCATCTTGGATTCCCGGCTTCCCCGTTTGATGTTTCCCCGTCCCCCGTGATGTCCCAACAGACTCCGTTTATCGTGCCTACGACTAGTTTGATATTTCGGGTACCGTTCGTAGGTTTATGAGTCTATTATATTGCATGCTAGTTGAATTGGTATCCCGTTGACCTAGGTGGAAGAAGTATGAACCCCTTTGGACTATTCTTAGTATGTGATGGATCACGCATAGGTTTTGTTATACGTTTTCTCCCCCTTCCCAATGTGTTAGTGTGGGCTGCATGTACTTGCTATGTGTTATGTGTGCATGTAACCCCGAGTTGGTTAAGATCAATCGGGCTATACGGGCAGTCGGATGGGCTGAGAACCATACTAGCTATTAACCAGGCTGGTAGAGACCGGTCAGGTATATAAATATTATATAGGACTAAGTTCCACTATACGGGCAGTCGGATGGGCTGAGAACCATACCGGCTGTTAACCAGGCTGGTAGAGACCGGTCAGGTATATAAATATTATATAGGACAAAGGTCCACTATACGGGCAGTTGAATGGGCTGAGAACCATCTCAACTGTTAACCAGACTGGTAAAGACCGGTCAGGTATATAAATATTATGTAGGACAAAGGTCCATCAGCCGGTTGCGATCGGCTCCTCCGTAATGTGAGACGGGGCAGGGTGCTGCGGGGCCGTGTCAGAGCTATATGCGCTGACCCTCATGTATGGGTATGCGATTAGTCCTGTGGCGCCAACAAAGTGTGCTATTTGATGAGATATGGATGAGTTGTGTTTATAAGTATATTGGGGGATTTGACTATGGGATTTAAGCTAGGTATTGTGTATGATGGGTTATGATTATTATTCGTGATCAGCTTTATCTGTCTTGCCTGTTGTGGATTGTATACGCTTGATTATAACTGTTGCTTGTGTCTAGCTTTATCTGTCAAGTCATTCCCGGTTTTAAAAGCTAGAGTCTTGTAGGATATATCTTCATGCTTCAAAATGGTTTTCGTATATCTATATATATATCTCTATTTGTATTGTATTTCAACGCGTTGGAGTGGGTTACCAGCATCTCTCGCTGAACAG